TTCACAGTATGCCCTAACTATCTATAAAGTTTCAGGACATTCTGTTGTGTAGTGTCAGAGAAGTTGTGATGACGAACTGTTGCAGTAGCATATTTAGGCCATAATTCTAAGTTCAAAGGGACATAACGCATTGAAAAAAATTGAATCATAATTTCCTTACAATATGCACATCTACATAGTATGTCCGTATTATCTACAAAGTTTCATGAAATCCTTTTAAGTGGTTTCATAGGAGTGATTACAAGAACAGGACTGACGGATGGACTGACAGACAGACTGACCGATGGGTGGGTCAAAATATTATACCCTACAGAACTTTGTTCCGTGGGGTATAATTACTGCAATGTATATAATTTGTCTTTTCAAACTTAATCATGTATATATTGTGAACCGTTGAATTTCGGGAAAAAGTATTTCTTTTAACAGTTTTTATTGCAATGAATGCTCCACGAAAAAAAAATCAAGTAGTTATAAGAAGCCTAACTTAATCATATAGTGGACATGTCATTTTCCCTTCAACATCTCTCCTCCTCAAACAACGAGAACAAAAGCTATGTTAACATCCTAAAATGCATGGTTCTTCATACTTCTGATTACACAGGTAACACATGAGTGGGTTCCATCGTGTAACATCCTAATCATCTAAACTGTCAGGTGGGTTAAATATCTCACCAGACATGATTGTAGTCATCCAACATCAAACATTCTCAATGTCTTCAATTGTACATGGCTTCCTGCATTAATTTTATACATAAACTAAAAAAAATATAAGAATTGATGGAGATATAGTTGCATGTGGTTTTCAAAAATTGTGGATTTTTCTTAATAAATTTTTTTTTATATTATCAAATATCGACTCCGGATTTTATATTATCAAATATCGACTCCGGACTATATAATATAATCTTCCGACAGGTTATCTACTCTGCGGTAGACCATTCTGGTACTCGGCAATGTACAGTCAGAGGCGTTACTTAAACAAATAATTAAATAATTTGAGTCACTTATATAGGTAATTTTTGTTTTTAGAAACTATTGAATTACTCAATAGAGTTCTTTTACATTTCAATAGAAGCATAAACTAAATATTGTTTTTATGAATTTTTACATCATTTTGTTACATACAATTCTTTTTTTTTAATTTTAGAGGAGTATGGAGATATAAGGTTACATAAAAATAATGACAAAAATATTACTTGTATAAGTGATTTTATACATCTATGTAAGAATTAGTAATAATTGTGTGTTATGGAAAGACTATTGTCATACTTCTATCTTTTGACTTCAGAGTATATAAATTTTGGAAAGGTTACTTTTTCAAAAATTGTGGATTTTTCTTAATAAATTATTTTTATATTATCAAATATCGACTCCGGACTATATAATATAATCTTCTATCAGGTTATCTACTCTGCGGTAGACCATTCTGGTACTCGGCAATGTACAGTCAGGGGCGTTACTTAAACAAATAATTAAATAATTTGAGTTACTTATATAGGTAATTTTTGTTTATAGAAATTATTAAATTACTCAATAGAGTTCTTTTACATTTCAATATGTAATTGTTTTTGGTAACAAATTATAAATAACTTCAAGTCTTAATTAAATCACAAGTTTCCATCTATTTATATCTGTCTACTTTTAAAGGGGTATTAGCTGTCAAATTCATGTTCACCGATTTGACTCAAATTCTCATATTTGACTTATAATATACTAAAACATATATCCAAATTACAATAAGTCTGAAATAAGCAATTTACAATGCATGGACTCGATAATATATATCAATATTTCGTTTGTATTTTAGTCTAGACGCCATCTAAATAACCATCGAGATGACCTCCGAAGACTGCCGGAGGTCAAATAACCCGATATAAACATAAACATAAATATAAATTGATAGCGACCCCGTGCAATTGAACTTTTCTATGTCTGTTTGATTTCATGTTATAGGTTGAAAAAATAAGTGAATCATCGTTTTTACCTGTATAAGAATGTTTTTTGTGGATCGAATCAGTCAACAAAATGGTTCACGTTTGTTTCACTTTCAATGTTGACATTCTTTTCCTTTTAATGACTGAACACTACTAATACATGCATAACCAATCTCTAGCTAATGGGCTAAATTGAAGGTCAGATTAATACGGATTCAATGAGGTCGAATTATTCACTTGCAAGTGCATAATTCATCAGCGATGTTTCTTAGCTTATTTTGTCAAAATTGAACTAAACTGGCTGCTTATAGTGAATTATTATTATTACTATTTCATTTTCATTAATGATTGAAAAGAAACAACATCGTATTTTAATTTTTGTATATCTCGTAGCTAATGCCCCTTTTAGATTTTTAAGAAAAATGATATTTTAATAGTCCAACGAGACCTATCTTTGACCAAGAAGAGTCAATATGAAAAGTAAGTTCGTCAAAAAGGCAGTTAGTGTTTAGGGAGGATTAGTTTTTATATTTCATGGGAAAAATAACCAGAGGTCTTTGAAAATAGTTAAAGCTAGTAAAATCTGTATGAATGGACACATATAAAAATAATATTTAAAAAACTTACTTATATAAGTAATATTTGAAATAGCCTCGTTTTCAACATAACATGTATAGATAATATTGAAAGTTACTTGTTTAAATATTGCCCCTTACTGATGTAAGAGCAGCTAAAAGAAATAAGATCAAGCTTACAATTGGTGCAATTTTGAGAAAAAAGATCAACTGTTTTATGTTTACCATACACGACATAATCATCGAAAAATCAGTAGATTTCCCCCCAAATTGCACCGATTGTATTCTTGAATTTACTTATTTTAGTTGCTCTTACTTCATTTGTGTACTTGATTAAGTACTAGAATGTCCTACCACAGAGTAGGTAACCTTTCCAAAATTTATATACTCTGGAGTCAAAAGATAGTAGTATGAAAATAGTCTTTCCATAACCAGCTTATAGCCCAAATTACAAAATTCATTGAATTTGAAATTAGTGTTTCCTATAGGAGGTTTGGTGTGGTATGGCGCCTTGCTATTTTTCTTGACGGCCTGCCCCATTACTTGGAATTAAATTGGTGTCATCTCCTTTTCCGACATATGCTATAACACACTGCCGTAATTTAAGATCGGTTCTGCGACTCATCTTTCTGTAAAACAAGTAATTTCCCTTTGGACGAAATCAAAATTTTAATGGCCGACTTTTTATCAAAATTATGTTTGAACGTTTTTGAAGTGCCCAAGTAGAAAAAGGGTTTATGATTGAATCTAATAAGACATCAACTTTGTTTCTCTAAGAATTTAAAATGTAGACAATTTGAAAGGGACCTAGGTAATCGTTTGAGTTTTAGTTTTATGACGCATCGGATGAACATCGCATAAACAATCAGCTGTTTGTTTGTATTTTCATATTAAATATGACCCCTTCAGCTATTTGGTCGGTCGAAACGTCGGATTGGATGTGAATTTACGACCGCTTGCCTACTGTTGTTATCTAAATAAAATAAAATCGATAAAAAAAAACAACCTCAGAATAGCCTCAAAAGTTTTTACAGTTATGAGGCAAGGTGATTAGGTATATAAATGTCAGACGTAAAAGATATTTGTCACGAATTATTTTCTGCAGCTAAAAGGCAATGCATATGATCAAGATCATGCAAGTCTTGACAATTTAGACAATCATTCGTAGGGATGAGTATTAAAGTTTATAACGATTAAAATGAGGCAGCTGCACTATCAAGATTCTATTAGCTGAGTTGAGAATTGATAAATTTATTAAAAAAAGGTATTACATTTTATTTCTTACAAGTAAATAACCAATGGTATATTTGGAGTAAATCCCTATCCATATCAATGCCTTTATATATATGTAAAGGTTCCCTAAAAGTGTAGACCTCCAAGCAAAGGGTGCCCTAAAATGTAGTCCTCCAGGCAAAGGGTGCCCTAAAAGTGAAGTCCTCCACGCAAACAGTGCCCTTATAGCGTAGCTAATCGTGCCAAGACCGGCAAGAGTGTTCTCTGAGCAATGCTGACAAAAAATAACCCTGCCCTTTTAAAAGCTGCAGAAAACACTAGAACCGTGCAAGTTTATTAAACATTTTAAATTTCTTACATTTTCATGCTTGATTATGTTATTTATGTTGTTTTTTGTATACTGTTGTTTGTCTTTTGGTCTTTTTCTGTTATAGCATTGTCAATCTATGTTCGACTTATGCGTTTGAACATTCCTTTGGTATCTTTCGCCTCTTTTATTGTACTATTTTATCAGATGTAAAGCAAGTTTTTAGGGAAAACCCACATAGTAAATAGTTCTGTCAGATAATATTTACAAAAATGAAAGAAAAGAATTGCTCAGGTTAAGGTTCATGGGACCCTTTTGCTAAAATGGATGCATTTTCACATCAAAATTTACTAAGAGTACAAACCTATGTATCTTGAAAAAATTTAAGGCATATCATGCTCTAGATGAATAAAATTCAAATACATTTTATGTTTTAGAAAATAAACATAGCTGGGAAAGAGGTTTGAAAACTTCCCAATAGGTAATTATTTAAGTGAAATGTATTGATTGACGTGTACAATAGAGGGACAATAGATTCCTGACAATATTTGGTGATTTAAACTGTGTACCTGAGTGGACCATATCAAGCCAAACTCAACTGTTTGTTAATTTTAACATCTTCTGCAGGAACTAAAAAAGTGCTGAGTACAATCCAGTTAAGTTTTAAATTTTTAATAAATAAAATGCATTTGAAGTTTATTTATCATGGGCATGCTATGCCTTAACACTTTTCCAGATGCACATGTTAGCCTGTACTCAGAGTAAATTTTGAGGTGAAAACACAGCTATTTTTGCCCAAGGGTCCACATGAACCTTAAAAGAACGTTGTTTATCTTGTTTTCATTTCGAACCTAAAAATTGTAGATGCACTCAATACAAGTCAGATTAATTATGTTAGCATCTGAAGTGTCTAAAATAATCAATTCTTAATCAAACACACATAAAACAAACCGTTGGGATAATTTTGTTTGGTCTTTCACATACCGGAAGTTCTCATGTTACATAATTATTTAAAAACAATCTCTGTTCAGATACGGTCTTTTTTCGTATGCATCAATCACGTTCATTGTATCAAAATAATAGTACTTGTATTGAGTGCATTTGTAATTTTGGGGTTGGAAAAGTTTCGAGGTAAAGGCAAAAGAGCAGGATATATACCATGACAAATTTCGCAGCGTGCCCTTCCAGAGCATCTGAGATCACCCTGGTGTTTGATGGGTTTCGTGTTGCTCAGTCTTTAGTTTTATATGTTGTGTTTTGTGTAATGTTGTTTGTTCTAAAAAATTGTTTTTGTTTTTACGGTTATTAAGTCGTCAGTTTGTTTTCGCAGAGACATATATACCGCACATGTCTCTGGTTTCGACTTGTGATTGTGAATGTCACTTTGGTATCTTTCGCCTCTCTTAAGTGGCAGGATATGAGCAGAAATCAACAAAAACTATAGATAAATGTAGTTAACATATTGGTTTTAAAAAGATATACAGTAAAGAATGTCGGTCACTTTGGTAAAACTCAGTGCAGGTTGTTGTGTGGAATTCTTTTTCAAGGTAAAGGGAAAGTCCGCGATGTTTTACTTTATATCATCTAAATATGTTCATTATAATGTAAAAAACACTTTCACAAAGTTTATATTCCCTCTAATAATGGAGAAAATCGAATACTTTGTTACTTTTTGGTTGACAGACGTCATCGGGTTGTGACGTTTTAGCCCAATTTTTGAATACTGGGTAGGAAATTAAAATCAGTTAAAGTCTTAATCGCTTGTCGAATTTTTCGGTAAACAAAAGCGCGCAGATGACTGTTTCTGGTAGCTTATAACCACACAATAATAATGAAAGAAAACGAACACACGTGTAACGTTTTATATTGATTAAATAAAAAATGCTTTTGTTTTAGTATAAATTTTCGTTCTAATTTTATTTATTAATAGTTTTTTTTCCGGAAATATTAATTGAACACAAATTATAAACTGATATTGAACTGAAAATATTTTCGTTTTTATTTTACTTAAATAATTTCGACATCAATTTCAAAGTTAGTGTGAATAGAATTAGTCTATTATTTCGGAAATATTGTAAATACTATACATATCCTTCAGTAAAACAATACAATTATCAAATGTTAACAGGTAATATGTTTAATAACTCTTTTATTTCTTCTTTATTGATCCCCTTTCGCTATAAGAACAAATGAGATCTTATAAAACTGTTTAACATTCAGTAATTTTTTTTCCCTTGGTATCAATTCAATATGCCCCAAATATTAACATCTTCCCATATCTGAATTTTATGTAAAATTGTACTACTTCATTGTTATAATATTTCATAAATAAATACTGTTCAAACATAATATTAACTTAAATAAAAGGAAAATTTAGTAATTGTTAATGATATTATCAGCTGGTTTGGTTAAATCTTTAAGTGTTCTATGCATATCGTTTTACAATTGTATCTTATATGTGTATCAAAATAGTACAGCTGAAGTCAACATTAAGTTTGTTTTACATATGTCATTTCAATCAACTTTTATATAAATAATTCGTAAGTTCCTAACCACCTTTATCTTCGACAACTAATGTTATCACGACAACAATGGGCACAGTTATTATCATCATGGTGCACGATAGTTCTGATAGTAAGCCCAATGCTTCTAAGAGCTAAATCAAAATGATTTTATGATTTTTGCAACTTTAGATTTCTTTGAAACAAAAATGCTTGGAATTATTGCATGGGTCCACTATTCTATGAAATATAACACGGTTCTACAAAAGCAATCAATTACTTTGATATAAAATACAATATGTTTTTTAACTACTGTCACGGGAAAAAACATGTATTTAGCTATAGAGGTGTATAAACCAAACAGAAATATAACAATATAATTGATTATTTATCTATGCAATGGATGTTTCAATTTGCAAAATAGAAATGCATTTTCAAAGTTTTATACTCACTTGGTTTAAAAGGTACAAGCTAAACAATTAAAAAAAAAATAATTCCTCCTGTCTCACATCCACTTCAAACCAAAGAAAAAGGTTACCACCTAAAACGGGACATACATGTCATGGTCGATTTAACATAAAAAAAACATCTCCATTGACAATGTCTCAACGCCTTTAGTACCGCAAGAGAGTCATTATTTAATGTAATCATTAGGAGCTGTTCAAAATGTTATAGAGAAAAAGCAATTCACCTTTTCAGATTCTAATGCATTCTGGGTAATATTTTCAAAAGCGTACACCAAAACGTTGTGATTGGTTTAAAACGTCCCAGACTATGGAAATTGAACTAATGATATAATTGGTGTACGAACAATGAGATTACCCATAGTTCTTTAGATTCTGAAAAGGCGAAATATGTGTTAAACATGATCAACTGTTACCCCTTGATTTAATACCTAGCAAGGGGTAACATTTCCCCAACTTTGTTCACACGTAATTGCCAAGTCAACGTAAAGAAAGAACAGCAAAGGAGAGCTATGTCTTGATTATACAGACTCATAACTACAGGTAAAAAGTAAGATAACAAAAATACCAAACTCCAAGGAAAATTCAAAACGGAAAGTCCTTTATCAAATGGTAAAATCAAAAGCTCAAACACATCAAACGAATGGAAAACAACTGTCATATTCCTGACTTGGTACAGGCATTTCCGTATGTAGAAAATGGTGGATTAAACCTGAATTTAAAGCTAGCTAAACCTCTCACTTGTATGACCGTCGCATAGAATTCCATTATAATGACAACAATGTGTGAGCCAAACAAACAGACAGCAAAACTGTCAAAAATGTCGGTGAAGCAGTCAACATTGTGTTAATTACTATAAAAACAAATAACTAGCTCAACAGAGAAAAACAAAATGACATATACACACTATATAGACAAAGTACATAAGTAAAAATGAAAGACAAGAATAAAAAATTGCCATAGCACAATGGCGAGAGGTATAAATACCGAGCCATACCAAAAATGAATAGTACACTACTGATTAGGAGTACATGGTACTGCGGTAAATCTACTGATGAATAAATTATGCTATCAAGCAAACTTTCTAATCGACGCACATACTCGATTGTTTAAAACACTCCCAAAAAATATCAAGTTGGGTAAACCATTGATGTCTTTTAAACATGAAGTGTTCGCTTCCAAATTCAAACACCAGTGAACGGTGTATAATGCATTTAGAATATGAGTTCACTGAGATAAGATTGCATGATATATAAGCATTGGAAAAATCGACTATTCTGTAGGGGAGAAGGATATTCCAGAACTTTGTAAATGAAATGTATTGGGAAGAAAGAATATTAAAGTAAAATAAAGTGCGGAATTAACAATATTTTGAAATTAAAACCTAAAAAAGTATGTTTGAGATACTTTTATTGTATTATCAACAAATTCACAGTTTTAAAATTATGTTTATGCCACGTATAGGGAAACAAAATAAAAAGTATGAGGGAGAAGTTGAAAATAAGAAAATACAACGGCTTAAGTAAAATAAAAGTGGTCCTTCCTTAATGCTTAAGATCTTCTGGGATTAAGTAAATATTTTAAGTATTTCTGGATTCTCTTCCATTCCTGATTCATTTTCTTGTGCTCCATCAAACGAGGAAGAATAATAATAATAATAAAAAAAAAAGATGTTCCTGTTTTGTTTTGCTATAATTGAATTGTTAAGTACAACTGTTTAAAAAAAAACCAAACAGACAAGCTCCATGAACATTGTAAATTGTGGTAAAAATAGCACAGGAAGTGCCAGTAAATTTTTTTTCTCGATTAACCATTTGGTTGAGATTTGATGGTTTAACAGGACTGTTTAACAAATTATCCGATTACACGGTTTATTGGGTAATACGATAGACACAAAACTGCCTGATTTTGATGATTAAACATAATATCTCGTAATCACAGTCAAACTGCGTCATCGTGATACAAGTTACGTTCACATTTGCTATAAAAGTTAATAAAAAAAAAATAAAAATAAAAAGATGTGGTATATTGGAATGTGACAACTATCCACCAGAGACCACATGACGTAGAATTAAGCAGCTATGGGTCACCGTACGGCCTTCAACAATGATCAAGACTCAAGCCATATAGTTAAAAGACCCCGATAAACAAGATGTAAACAACTCAAACGATCAAACTAACTGCCTGATTGATATACAAAACAATTAAAAACAAAAATATGAAAGACAGCCACGAGAATAACAAACTATAAAAATCAGTTCAAAAAGCTTAACTCGTCAAATCGACACAAAACTAAAAAATCCAAAACAATTATTGATCATCGTTCGACATTTCACAATGAGAAAAAAAACGATAGCATATGCATTAAGCAATAAAAGGTCCCAATATGACTTAAACTTAAATGTAAAACAATTCAACGAGACAACTTACGGCACATTACAAAATACATGTAATTAAAGAAAAACAAATATGATAGACAGCATGAATAACAGGCTCCTAAATTAGAAAAGGCACATATAAAATGAGGTGGGGTTGAATATGTTTGCGAGCGTCAACCCTCTTCTAAAATTGGATAGTGGTGTAATAGCACAGCATAATTACAAACTCTAAAATTAGTTGAAACAGCTAAAACACATCAGATCGACACAAAAAAAACAAAAACACAAGGTACTCGCAATTACTGTAAGCTAGTTCAATTGATTGATTGATTGTCAGTTGCTAAACACCCAGTGAAAATATTTCATGCATATTCAGGACGAGAACAAATTAACAATAAACATGATAGGTATGTCATGTAATAGACGCTGTCCTGGATAAAGGTCGGGGAAATTTGAACTGAAAATGAGGATACATTAGATAGGAACAACATTTGGCCTCGCAGTAGGCCACATACAGACTCCTCAGACTACTTATACTATATATTGGTATCCTAGGGTTGTAAGTTGTTTATCTTATGCATACAGATTACGAAGGCTTCTTAGTGGTTCAATTTTAAACCCTTAGTCTTGTAATATATCAAACAAAAATTTTGGCAGAAACAAAC